ATCCCAACACTACTTCTCTGCCACTGTTTCTTACTTTCTGTGCCATCTCTGGTGTTACAACTCTCCTCACTTCATTCTGAGTCCTCACCAGAATTGCCTTTGATGTCCATAATTCCACCAACATTCTCTTCAACACAATCTAGGCTTTTACCATTGTTGTTGTTATTGTTATGTGCCATCGAATTGGACCCGACTCACAGAGACCCCTCCTTGGGTTTCCGAGGCAGTATCACTACAGAAGTAGATTGCCCAACCTTCCTTCCGAGGAGCAGCTGGTGGGTTTGAACCGCCAGCCTTCTGGTTAGCAGTCAAGTGCCTTAGGCACTATGCTACCAGAGCTCCTTTACCATTAGACACCTTAAAACTCTTCTAGTCTCTCCCTATTATCCAAGTCCAAAACTGCTTCCACATTATGGGTATCTGTTAGAGTAGCACCTCGATTCTAGTACAAAATTATGTCTTGGTTATCTAGTGCTGCTATACAGAAATATTACAGGTGGAAGAATTTAACAAATAGAAATTTATTTCCTCACAGCTTAGGAGGAAAGAAGTCTGAATTCAGAGTCTCTGCTCTAGGGGAAGGCTTTCTAACTCTCTATTGGCTCTGGAGGAAGGTCCTTATCTCTTTTCAACATCTGTGGGTCCAATGTTCTTTGGAGATCTACATATGTCTTGGAATCAATATTCCCCTGGGTCTAGGAGGTTCTCAGTTCAGGGACCCTGAGTCAAAAGGACAGACTCTGTTCCTGGATTTTCTTTTTTGGTGATAGGTACCTTCTTCTCTGTTTTCTTCTCTCCCTTTTTATCTCTTATAAGATAAAAGTGATGCAGACTACCTCCCAGGGAAATTCCCCTTACATGGAAGATCAGGGCTGTGACCTGAGTAAAGGTGTAGCATCCCACCCTAATCCTCTTGCAACTGATTGGCTTATTGTATCAGATCACAATGACGGAAATGAGTACATCATTACATAACAGCCAAAATTCTGAGAATCATGGCCTAGCCAAGTTGGCACATATTTTTAAGGGACACAATTCAATCTGTAACAGTTTCCATGAGTCAGGAGCCAACTGTATGGCAGCTAATGATAGCAACAAAATAATTATCTTTCCTGTTGGGTGAATTTGCCTAAGAGTTCCTGACTGCAGATGTGGAGGAAGTTTATCTAGAAGTGATGTTTTGCCAGAAAACACAAATAAAAAACAAGCTCAAAGGAGTTTAGAGCATTGGCAAGGATGTTACTCAAATGAAGAACCTAAGAATCTCTGCTGGGTAAAGGAAATACATTTAGAAAGGAAAGGAAAGGAGTCCATGAACTAGAGGTCCTGAAGAGGTCCAAGGATGGTAATAGTGGGAATAGTTGAATAAGCATGTTGGAAGAAGGGAGGATGTTTGAATTAGTGATTTTTTAAGAGATTGTAACAAAATCAAGAATGTGACTGCGGGAATGGATTGCTGAAATGGAGTAGGACAAGGTCATTGCAGGCAAGGAATTCCAGGAATTGAATGGATGTCCTTGTGGATATTGAAATCATCCAAGAAAATGGAAGGATTTGGGAAGGAAAGGAAGACTATGAGGCAGCTGCCCAAGTCTTTAAGTATGAGGAAAAGATTTGTAGATGTTATTAATCGTACCCATTCCCCCAAATATATGTTGAAACCCTACCATCTGTAATTATACTCTCATTTGGAAATGGGATTTCCTTTTGTTATGTTAATGACCCATACTAGTGTAGGATGGGTCCTAAACCTAATCACCTCTTTATAAACAGGGCAGATTAGATATAGAGACACACACAGAGGGAAGAAGAGGGCAGACAATAGAGACAGATGCTGGTAGCTACTAGAAACTGAAATAGACAAAGAAGAACTACTTCCTAGAGCCTTGCTGATGTGGACGTTTAGCCTTCTGAACTGTGAGAAAATAAACTCATGTTCTCTAAAGCTACCTACTTGTGATATTTCTATTATGGCAGTATGAAATAACTAAGATAGTAGGCAACAGGAGAGAGGAAGTGAAGTGATAAAGCAACTGGTGAGAGAAAGGACAAATGGAGAACAACAGCAGCACCTTTGGGTCCTGCAGGACCTGGGATGTGAAGGGGCCAATAGCCACCATTGAAAACAAGAAATGTCCTCCACAGAGTTTGATGTTTCTGTTAGGACACATAGGTGTCTGTACAAGTCTATAGGTGCAAGTATAAATATTTTTAAAAGTGTATTATACTTATAATATTATGCTTTTCACTACACATCCTAACACTGTCCCTATAGCCAACACTGTAATGCATTTTCTAATAATTTATGCTTTGCAAAATACTTTCACATACACTTATATGACTGATGATTTCTGGAGCATCCAGTTAAATGTCATAAAAGTCTATGATAAGGAGAATTATAAAATCAACATTAAAATATTTGGATTACTTAATCTATGCTCTAAGGTTAAATATGGGGGAATAAAGAATCAAGCCAAAATGAAGACAAAATGAATTGAATGATAGTTTGGATTCAGGACATCAAAAATGTGTGTATCAGGAAAGTTGATTCCTTTTATAAACTTATTACCCAAATAATTCTCATTTAGCAGGTAACTCTTTATTCTCTCTTATTTCTCTATTTGCAATATATCTTTCTACATCAGGAATAGGGAAGACTGAAGAAGAATAAATGCGTTTGAATTGTAGTGTTGGTGAAGAATACTGAAAAAACCATGGCCTACTAAAACAATGAACAAATCTGTTTTAGAAGAATTGCAGCCCCTTAGAAGTAAGAATTGCCAGACTTTGTCTCATATACTTTGGTCATGTGGTCAGAAGGGACTGGTCCCTGGAGAGGAATATCATGCTTGGTAAAGCAGAGGATCGGTGAAAAAGGGGAAGACCCTCAATGAGATTGATTGACACAGTTGCTACGACAATGGGCTCAAGCATAGCAAAGATTGTGAGTTTGGTGTAGGACTGGGCAGTGTTTTGTTCTGTTGTACGTAGGGTCACTATGAATTGGGAGCTGATACAATGGCACCTAACAAATACATCTCTCCTTGTAGTAATGTTACAATTATGCTGTACTACAAAGGCTGTGGTCAAAGTCTAACACTTTATCAGGCTGGGACCATCTCTGTAGCAAAAGGGCAGATCATCTTGTCAATCAGCAGCAGCTTCCCTAAACAGAAGGCTTTGAACTCCAAAAGTGGCTCATCCTATGCACATAGGAAATGTCTGATTGTCCTAATATTGCCTCTGATAAAGCCCCTGGTCTTCCATTTCCCGGCAACAAGGTCTTAATTTTGTTAGAGTCAGAGGCCTTATTCATTAGCATTCATTAATAGTGCCTTTGGTACACTTGCTTGGGGGAAGTGACAACAAGGGGGAAAAAAAGAACAAATGGTGATAAAGGGGAAAAAAAAACCACCCACTGCCACTGAGTCCGTTCCAACTCATAGCGACTCCCATGGGTTTCTTAGGATATAAATCTTTACAGAAGTAGATTGCCTCATCTTCTTCCCACAGAGCCAGCCACTGGTGGGTTTGAACTGCTGATTTTCTGTTTACCAGCCAAATGCCTTAACACTACACCACCAAAACTTCTTAACAAGGAGATACTACCTCAAAAAAATTGATTTTAGCAATTAGTAAATTATCTCTAAAAGACAGTTCTGAACAATAGGGCATAGAGGAACCAAAATAGAAGTTATTCCAATTTTAGCACTGAGCAATATTAACTCTTAGCGAGACATCCTTCTGGGGGAGGGTATATTTAGCATATTGTTAATTCTGTTTCTTTTTTTGATTTTTCCACTGGCTTCAAAAGCCAAGCTTGAACGCTGGCTCTAGAGGTGGTAAGATAGAAAGTCAGTAAGTTTTTCAACCTAACTTCTTTCATTTTAAACATTTTCAGTTTTAGTTACAAAGAGAAATGTGGGTTTACCAGAGAGACCTATGATATTGCAATGAGGCAAGCCAAACAAACAGGAAGAAAATCTCCAATATTTGGATCCAGTTTGGAGATAAATTTGACCTATGGTAATTATCTTGGTAAGTCCAGGAAACAAAATTTTCATTTTTTTCCCTAAACAGTTCAGCATATTTTCCTTTACTTGAAATGGAAAATACTTAAAAGAATTTTTTTGTATAATGAGCAATTTATTCTACCATGCCTGCTCCCCTTTGCAACTTAAGAAAAATTTACCAAAATTGGTGTCAAATAAAATTCTGGGTTGTAAGACAGAATGTTCCAGAAACTGCTCTCCTTATAAATGATTTAAATGTGTTTCTGGTATGAAGTAGCGATTTAGGACAGGGGTCAGCAAACTAAAAGGTCAAATAATAAATATTGTCAGCTTTGTGGGTCACGTGTCCTCTGTTTGACTATCAGTTCTGGTGCTGAAGTACAAAGGCAGCCATAGGCAACATTGTGCATGGATGAACCGGTATGTACAGTTCTAATAAAACCTTTTTTTTTATGGACACAAATTTAAATTTCGTATCATTTTATGTTCTATGACATATTGCTCTTATTTATTTATTTATTAATAATGAAAAATGTAAAACCCATGCTTAGCTTGGGGGCCAAACAAAAACAGGTAGCAGTTTGTTGGCACTTGATTTAGATAGTGTCCTTCTGACCACAAGACTGAGACAGGGAAGGAGGATAGAGAGGGGACACAGGTTATAACACCCCTTTATTTCACCTACAGGCGATTATAGCCTATAAAACCCTATGGTGCAGTTCTATTGTGTTTCATCTTGTGGAAACACAGGTGGCCACTTAAACCAGTATCCAGTTGCTGTGGAGTTGACTGTGACTCACAGCAACCCCACGTGCTCCACAGGGTTTTCAGTGGCTGACGTTTCAGAAGTAGATCACTAGGCCTTTCTTCAAGGCACCTCTGGGTGGATTCAAACTGCCAAATCTTTTGGTTAGCAAATGACCATATTAACTGTTTGCGTCACCCATGAACATTTACATGAGGTATTTTGCCAGATACTCAAGTTACCTGGGGAATTCTGAGGTGAGGAACAGGGTGAACAGCGGGGAGAGAAGCTGTACCCAGGGTGGAAGGCAGCCTGCAGGGGAACGTAGGACATAATCTCTTCTTCAAAGAGACTGCAAAGTAAAAAAAAAAAAGTTAGTTTGCTGTCCATGAAGAAGTGTTCAGGCATTGGGGAGATAGTTATAGTTCTCACAAAGCAACAAAAGTAATCAGATTTAAGAATAATAGAAAAAGATTGACACATCCCAGCTTGTAAATTCTCAGTGTTTTTGCAAATATTGATTAATCCTATGACAAAGCCTCTGTCAAATACTATATGTAGCTCTTGAAACTTCAGTTTTCAATGTAAAGAATGTGGTCGCAGGAGGAGGTACAAAGGTGGGAACACTACTTTACTCACTGCCACTAGAATGCCTCTCAAACCAAGGGTGAATGTTTCCATCCTGACCCTTTCACTGAGGTTGTGCTGGAAAAGACCTGCCTGTAAAGATGCTTTTCCAGATGTTGTTTCAAACATTTAAGGGTTAGCATCTTACCTCAGTAAAATTACTAGATCTGCATCACAGGACAACTTTTCAAGCCCATGATTACCCTCAGTCCGAATATAATGGATTTTCTCCCTAGAAAAATATGGGAAAGAAAATAAGAATTACACATCACAACATAAACTAAGTGGGACTGGGATGTTAAAAGCTTGCAAAGGGCTATCTAGATGCAATGATGGGTCTCTCCTCATCCAGAGCAAAGAAGAATGAAGAAAAGCAAAGACATGTGGAAACAACTATTCCAAGCGACTAGTAGACCATGTGATTCTCAGCCTATATTACTATGAAACCAGAAGAACTAGATGGTGCCCGGCTACCACTGTCAACTACTCAGAGGGGGATCTGTGTAGGCAATACTGGATAGAGTGGGAGAACAATGTGGAACAAAACTCAGAATTATATATAAAAAAAGATCAGGCTTGCTGGTCTGATAGAGCCTGGTGAAACCCCTGAGATTATAGCCTTTAGCTTCCCTTCAGGTCTGGAATTCCAGGCTGGCCCCTGACCTACAAATCTTGGATTTACCAGCTCCCCACAATTGCATGAGCCAATCCATAAAATAAATCTTTCTGTCTCTGTCTCTCTATATATGTAGGAGTCCTGGTGATGCAATGGTTAACCAAAAGTTTAGTGGTTCAAACACACCCAGGAGGTGTGAAAGACCTGGCAATCTGTTTCTGTAAAGATTGTTGTTATTGCTGTTATGTGCCTTTGAGTCGGACCTAACTCATAGCAACCAGTCCTTAGGTTTCCGAGGCGATAATCACTACGGAAGTAGATTGCCCCATCTTCCTTCCAAGGAGTGGCTGGTGGGTTGAACTGCCAGCCTTCTGGTTAGCAGTCAAGTGCCTTAGGCGATTACAGCCTATAAAACCCTATGGTGCAGTTCTGTTGTGTTATATGGAGTTGCTATGACTTGGTACCAATTGGACAGCACCAAACAACAACATTTATATATATTACCATTGGTTTGTTTCTCTAGAAAACCCTGACTAAGACACTAAAAAACAGAGAAACATCCTTTTTTGATCCCTTTTGTTCTCCAATTTGGTGAAACAAGCAAAATCCTAATGCCCAGTGTATTTCACAGTATTCCAAGCTCCCATTGCAGGTTCACATGGTGCTCTGTGAGTGATTGCTTCTACTCAGACTCACACAGGTACTAGAGCCAAGAAACAAAGTCAGGTCTTTGATTAGTTAAGACAATCAGGACTGGACCTCCCTAAAGCAGGGCTGTTGAAGAACTGTACTGAGGTCACAGCATATGGATATGGAAGTCATGTGAGGAAAGAGTGAAAGGGGAGTCTCTTGAGAAATATTATGCCTGGTGGAAAACTTACACTGCCACATTGACCCAGAGAGGGCCTTGAGAATATATGAGACTTAGTCTCCCCGGTCAGTATGAGTACAGGCATCAATTTCTCTGTTTAGTCTTTTCTACAACTTCTAACTCCATCCTGGAAAATTATTCTAAGTAGGTTTATAGAAAAATAACATATGCTTGAAGCAACTTAACTTTATAATTTTCTCTCTTGTCACTATTCAAATATTACAAATAGTATAGTTAAGATTCATTCCATTTCATGCATGCTTCAAAAGAAATTTTTTTTTTTTTTTGCCTTTCTTATATATAGCATAAATCTGGAAAGATTTAAGGATTGATTTCTTTTTAATGTTTTTTCTTCCTTTCTTTTTGTTTAAATTTTTATTTAAAAATAATTTTAGATTGAAAGGCTAATAAAATCAAACCTCACAATTGAAGTAGGTTAATATAATCAAACCTCACAATAATTTACACCCAGCCAAAATGGAATTTTACAAATAATAATAATAATAAAATTCCAGACTATCAGACTTCTGAAAATAGGTAATGACTACTGTCTGACTCATGTAAAAGTTATCTTATAGGGGCACCATGTCTGCAAGGAAGAAACAAACTGATCTAAAGGAAGGAAGGGGCTGATTGTGGGACTTGGCAGACTAAACCGTATGACATCTTAAACCTAGAGATAAAAGAATGAGAAGTTCAGAGAGAAGAATAAAAGACCTCAACTCAGACAATCATTGGTTGGTCTCTCTAGTGCAGAGAGTCAGCCCACTTGCTTTGATGCTTTCATCTCTTAAATAAATTCTCCTTTTCTATTTCTCTGGCCTGGTTTCTCTTGGCATTGGCAACCCAACCTTACATAGATTAACTTGGAGTTGTAAGAAATAATGCATATAACCTTTACCAAGTTTTCCCAAATGATAACATATAATTTTTAAAAAACCCATTTTTAATAATACAGCAAATACAACCTTTTCCTCCCTCTGATTGTAATTAATTATAAATATAATATCTTCAGCAAAACTTAACTTGGTTCTTTAGTGTGGGTTTTTGTTTTGCTTTTTATTGTGATTTGGGTGAATGTTTACAGAGCAAATCAGTTTTCTATTCAACAATTCATACACATTTTGTTTCATGATATTGTCATCCCCACAATGTAACTCATCCCACTTTCTCCCTGTGTTTCCTGTTTCCATTCATCCTTCTTTCCTATGTCTTCTTGCCTTCTGAACCCCATGTATAAGAGAATAACACTGCCTGGTCCGGCACCATCCTAACAATATTTGCCATGCTTTAGTGCATCATCACAGTCACTGTGTCATCCATCTTGTTGAGGGTCTTCTCCTTGTTTGCTGCCTGTTTACTTTATGAAGTGTGATATCCTTCTCCAGGAACTGGTCCCTTCTGACAACATGATCAAAGTATGTGAGACAAAGTCTAGCCATTCTTGTTTCTAAGGAGCTTTCCAGCTGTATGTCTTCCAAGATAAATTTGCTCATATTTTTGGCAGTTCATGGTATTTTCAGAATTCTTCACCAACACTACAATCCAAATGGATCAATTCTTCTTGGATCTTCCTTTATTTATTGTCCAGCTTTCACATGCATATGAGGCTATTGAAAATACCAAGGCTTGGGTTGTTCACCTTATAGACCTGTCTATTGTTAGCTGAAAGTTAAACCATGGGGGTGAGTTCAGTACCAGGCTTGAAGGGTGACTAAGGGCCATAGTCTAGATTCTACCAGTCTCTATTTGACCAATGAGACCATTTCTTTTTATAATTTTGAGGTTTTTTTTCCTCATTTATCTCCAACTCTATCTAGAACCTTCTGTTGTAATGCCTTTCAGAGTGGTCAGTAGTGGTAGTTGGGTACCATTTAGTTATTTTGGTCTCAGGGTTGCAGAGGCTGAGGTTCATGTGATACATTACTCCTTTGAGGTAATTTTTTCCATGTGTCTTCTTTGCTCTGGATGGGGAGAGACCAATAGTTGCACCTTTGATGGAGGCTTACAAGTTTTTGGAATCTCAGTAACTACTCACCAAAGTAGAAGGTAGAACATTTTCATTGTGGAGTGTGTTATGCCAATTGACCTTGATGTCCCCTAAGCCTATGGTCCTGAGCCCTGATGTACATGATTCATTCCCTCAAGGTGTTTTGTTATGGCTAAGAAGTTTTCATAACTTTGTCTTCTGTATTTATTATTTTCATGGACATATTTTTAACACACATAAATACATATGTAGAAATATCCTCTGTCAAACATATATATATATATTTATGGATGTAGTCCCATTTGCCTTTCCACACCTGTTCAAGCTGTGTGCCTATCTATGTATCCTTGTAGATTATTGTTACTACTGTTATTGCAAGATTGTGTATGGAATAGTAGTTACCTCTATTGCCTTTAACTCCTGTGCTCCTAGTGATCTTATACAAAATTTGTACTTTTGTGATTGACTAATTTCACTAAGCATAACATCCTCCAGGTTCATTCACGTTATGAGGTATTTCACAGATTCATTCCTATTCTTTAATGTTTCATAATATTCCATTGAGTGTATGCACCGTAGTTTTTTATCCATTCACTTGTTGATGGGCACTGGGGTTGTTTCCATCTTTTTGCTATTGTGAATAGTGCTGTGATGAACATAAGTGTGCATATATCTATGTGTGTCATGGCCCTTATTTCTCCAGGATATACACCTAGTAAAGAGATTGCTGGATCATATTATATTTCTATTTTCAACTTTTTAGGGAGGCATAGTGCCTAAGGCATATGACTGCTTACCAGAAGGCTGGCAGTTCAAACCCACCAGCCACTCCTTGGAAGGAAGATTGGGCAATCTACTTCTGTAGTGATACTGCCTTGGAAATCAGAGGAGGGGTCACTATGAGTTGAATCGACTCGATGGCAGTGAGCTTGGTCTTTTTAATACTGTTTTCCACAGTGGTTGTTTCATTTTATAGTCCCATAAGCAGTGTATGAGGGTCCCTGTCTCTATAAACCCTCATCAACATTTTTCTGGTTTTTTTTTGAACTTTGTTATTAATGCTGGAGTGATATGATATCTTTTTTATTTATTTATTTTTATTGTGATTTGGGTGAAAATTTCCAGAGCAAATTCATTTTCCATACAGCAGCTCACATACACTTTGTCTCATGACATTGACTGCAATTTCTCATAATGCAACAGCTCTCCTCTCACTTCCTCCCCATAGTTCTCTCTTCCTTGTGTCCAGATATCTCATTGTTTTGATTAGCATTTCCCTAATGGCTAATGATTTCTTCATGTGTTTGTTGGTCACCTGAATGTCTTCTTTGGTGAAGTGTCTGTTCTTATGTTCTGATAGTTTTTAAATAGGATTATTTATCTTTTTTGTTGTTGAGATGTTGAAGTGTTCTATATTTTTTTTTATGTGTTCAATTCAGATGATTATTTTACATTCTCATAATATTCTCTTCAACATTTAATGGAAATGATATATAATAGATTTTCACTGCATCTTACCTAAGTTAACCACTATAGAAATTTACATGGATTAGAAACAAAAAGATGGTTAAGGCATCCAGTCCTATAGGCTATTTTCTTATAGAGGTCATAGGTCAGAGTTAGCTGGGAGAAGGGGATTCAGATTGCCCAATCAGGTGACAGGTGAGGAAAGGCTAAAATGTAGGCTGCTGGATAGAGATAACCAGAAAGTGGGTCCATCAATATTCCAGGGAACCACTCATAGACACAGGTCCC